GTGGCTCGAACCGCAGTTTGTCGACCACTGCCCTAGGGCATTGTTGAAAACTGTAAAGCTAATGGCCAGAAATGAGTGGAACTTAATTGCTGGCTGTGGTCAGGGCAAGAGACCGAGATACCCTGTCAAAACCACTGTCATCCTAGGGTGAATGTGGGCATACCCAAGTCCACACCCCTAAGGAGCAAAATTAGGAGCTTAACGCTGCAGGTGGCTAAGGGGCTTCACTAAAATAATGCAGCCTATCACCAAGAAACAAGTTCTCTAATTGGTCTTAATGTATTAAATCATTTATAGAACCCAAACCAAGGTAGATGTGTTTGGGAGCTTGTTTTTTATTTTTATTTATTTATTTTTGTATGTAGATATTTTGAGACACATTTATTTAGTTCTCATAAACATATCCACATGGTGGTTTTTCTCAGAAATATCTATGTGGCTTTTTCACCTTTCTTGATTGGAGCTTTTAAAATTGTTATGAAATCATAATCTACATTTAATGTTGGATTTTCCATGTGGAAAGCAATCTCGTCATTTGGTCATTTCAGAATGTTGCATATATTCTAAATGTGTCCAAAAACGAATGGGAGTTCGTTGATCCTGAAATTTATTTTCTAGTAATCTTTGACAAAAGGCTGAAAAATGTCATCTTAACTGAAGTGAACATCTGAGGACGGCTCAAATTTATGCTCTTGATTATTTTAATGTTTTGCTTATAAGACATCAATACATCCCAAAATAATAGTAGTGAATTATTTTTAAAATACTTTAACTTCATCTTGTACTAGGACACATTTAATAATGAATTTTGAAGACTTTCAGCACAAATAATTACAGATTCCTATGATTAAAATTTGTAGATCACATTCATAAGGATATTGGCCTGGTGGTTTTCTATGGGATAAATGTAATAGTTTGTTATGGTTCACAGCATCATTTTAATCCAGGGAGGAGGGCTAAAAATGCAGACATTTAAGAGATCATCAAATCAAGTCCTATCAGTGATTTTCTTCAACCTAATTTTAACCCTATTTCTCCAGATTCTAGTGATTATATAATACTAGAGGCCCAGTGCACGAAATTTGTGCACTTGGGGAGGAGGGGTCCCTCAGCCTGGCCTGCACCCTCTCGCAGTCCTAGACCCCCATGGTCAGTTGCCCCAAAGAGGTAGGCACTGCCCACCCGTCTGGGGCTCTGTGATGGATTGCCCCCCGCAGGGGGAGGCCCCGCCCACCCACTGCAGCCCGCCAGTCAGTGGCCTGGGCTTCCCTCTTTGGGGCAGTCATGGAGCCCCCCGATTGATCACTCCGCTGGCCAGTGGCCTGGGCCTCCCTCTGCGGGGCGATTGTGTGGCAATGGCTGGGCCCCCAGACCAATCGCATCACACCTGCCTTGGCTGGCCTGGCACTATTGGGTATCATAGCTTGGTCATCTGGATGGTCATTCTGCTGTTCAGCCATTCAGCCAATTTGCATATTACACTTTTATTACATATTCTAGAGGCCCGGTGCACAAAAATTTGTGCATTGGCGGGGTGGGGGGCAGTATCCCTCAGCCCCACTTGTGCCCTCTCACAGTCTGGGACCCCTCAGGAGATAACGACCTGCTGGCTTAGGCCCACTCCCTGGTGGCAGAGGGCAGGCCCAATCCCTAGGTGCAGACCCTGGTCAGGCTCAGAGAAGGGTTTTAAGGTAAAATGAGGTCTCACCCCGTCATGCACAGAGCAGGGCGGATTGGGAGGCTGCAATGCCACCCTCAGTCACGCTCAGGGTAGGGCCGATTGGGGGGTTGGGGCACCGCCCCCTGTCACACTCAAGGCAGGGCTGATGGGGAGGTTGCAGCGCCACCCCCTGTCACGCACATAGCAGGGCCAATCAGGGGGTTGGGGTGCTGCCCCCTGTCACACACAGAGCAAGGCCCATCAGGGGGTTGAGGAGCTCCCCCTGTCAGAGAGTAGGGCCGATAGGGGAGTTGGGGTGCCTTCCCCTGTCACACACAGAGCAGGGCCGATCAGGGGGTTGTGGCCCCGCCCCCTGTCACACACAGAGCCACAGGTCGATCAGGGGGTTTGGGCGCTGCCCCCTGTCACGCTGAACCCAGTGCCAGGAGGCCTCGCAGTTCCGCTGATCTCGGTGCTGGGAGGCATATTACCCTTTTACTATATAGCAT